GATGGATGGATGGATGGATGGATGGATGGATGGATGGATGGATGGACGGATGGATAGATGAGAGATTTGTGCTGATGGAGTTCCATCAAGCTGACTCCTGTAAACCGTCTCACAATATTAGGTCCAGATGCTCCCAAAGCTCTGACTGCTTCTGATGTCCAGTTTGAAACAGCCCTGCTCTCGTGGAAGCCACCCCAGGCATCTATCACAGGCTACCTCCTGATCTACGAAGCTGCTGATGGCAAAGTCAAGGTAACGGTTTAGGTCCAGAATTGGTCCTTTCTTACACGCAACATCATCTCTGCTCTGTTGGTAGCATTTAAAGGACTTTCTCCTTATTCTTCCATTTCCCAGTGGCTAGACTGGGAAGTCAAGGGACAAAAGGGAAGACATGATGTTGTCAAGAAAAAAACTGCATGGGTGGAAGGATTGGAAGTTAAACTCAACTCAAGGGCGTTTTTATTTTAGACGGACTTGTAAGAAGTTCAGGTCTGCTGGAAAATAGTCCATCTATCAATTCAATGCAGTCATTTTCATAGAGGTAGATCTATGTATTTGATAAGCTCCAACAAGTCATGGGCATGCTAAATCAGGCATACCAGAAGTGTTTTGGACACGGTACATTCATGTGAAATTTTTGGACAAGTACTGTTCCTAGAGAAGGAGTAGGGATGACATGATAGCAGTGTTCCAATATCTCAGGGGTTGCCACAAAGAAGAGGGAGTCAAGCTATTCTCCAAAGCATCAGAAGGCAGGACAAGAAGCAACAGATGGAAACTCATCAAAGGGAGAAGCAACCTAGAACTAAGGAGGAATTTCCTGACAGTTAGAACAATTAATCAGTCGAACAAGTTGCCTCCAGAAGTTGTGAATGCTCCAACACTGGAAGTTTTTTAAGAAGAGATTGGACAGCCATTTGTCTGAAATGGTATAGGGTTTCCTGCCTGAGCAGGGGGTTGGACTAGAAGACCTCCAAGGTCCCTTCCAACTCTGTTATTCTATTCTATTCTATTCTATTCTATTCTATTCTATTCTATTCTATTCTACTCTACCCTACCCTACCCTACCCTACCCTACCATACCCTACCCTACCCTACCCTACTCTACTCTAGATCCAAAGATGGGAATGACGTAAAGCTGGGAGACAATTACAGCCCGAATTTCATCAGTCTTCGGAACCGTTTTCTTAAAGTTGTATGAATTATTCAACCAGCGTCCATCTTCATTCTTTCTTGGTCTTCTACTTTTATATCTCTGGCAGGAAGTGGTCCTGGGGCCCGAATCGACTTCTTATAGCCTGGTGGACTTGAGTTCATCCACTTTGTACACAGCAAATCTTCAGGCACTGTTCCACACGTTGAAGAGCAACTTCATCCAAACCACGTTCACCACAAGTAAGGGATGGGCTTTTCCAAAGAAAGTCGTAGGGCAATTCCATTTAGGGAGGGGAGGGAGAGGAAGAAGGATAAATTAAAAGCAAAAAAAAAGAAGGAAAAGAAGGAGATAGAAAATGATGAGATGAGATGAAATGAAATTTGCTATTCAAAAATCTTGGCAGCCTCTGAAGGAGTGGGGTGTGATAGAATACAATTCCTTCTTTTCTGTGATTATTGTGTTGTACGGGAAGCATGATTTGGTGCTCATGGAAGACATAGGCAGACATTATGCAAAGAAAATCCCCCCCTTCCCCATTGCCATAAATCTGGAATGATATATTACTCTTTGCAAAAGGACAGCGAAGCATAACACCGTTTTATAACGGGCCAGGGAAAAAAATGAAATAAGCTGGGAGGGACAGAACTGCATTCCACACCCCCTCCACTGACCACAGCCCCCAGGTCTAGCTTTCTTTCTTTTTTTAATCCTAATGGTTGTAATTCAAAGATTGTGTGAAGAGAGGGAAGAGACAGAGAACGTCAATAGGGAGAAGGAGGAGGAGGAGGGGAGGAGAAGGAGAAGGTAAAAGAGGAGGAGAAGGAGAAGGAGGAGAAGGTAAAAGAGGAGGAGAAGGTAAAAGAAGAGGAGGAGGAGGGGAAGGTAAAAGAGGAGGAGGAGAAGGAAAAGGAGGGGAAGGTAAAAGAGGGGGAGAAGGGGGGAAAGGTAAAAGAGGGGGAGAAGGAGAAGGTAAAAGGAGGAGGAGGAGGGGAAGGTAAAAGGAGGAGAAGGAGAAGAAGGTAAAAGGAGGAGGAGAAGGAGAAGGAGGAGAAAGTAAAAGAGGAGAAGGTAAAAGAGGAAGAGGAGAGAAGGAGGAGAAGGTAAAAGAGGAGGAGGAGGAGGAGAAGGAGGAGAAGGTAAAAGGAGAAGGAGAAGGAGGAGAAGGTAAAAGGAGGAGAAGGAGGAGAAGGAGGAGAAAGTAAAAGAGGAGAAGGTAAAAGAGGAAGAGGAGAGAAGGAGGAGAAGGTAAAAGAGGAGGAGGAGGAGAAGGAGGAGAAGGTAAAAGGAGAAGGAGAAGGAGGAGAAGGTAAAAGGAGGAGAAGAAGGAGAAGGAGGAAAAAGTAAAAGAGGAGGAGAAGGTAAAAGGAGGAGGAGGAGGAGGAGAAGAAGGTAAAAGAGGAGGAGGAGGAGGAGAAGGAGGAGGAGAAAGTAAAAGAGGAGGAGGAGAAAGTAAAAGAGGAGGAGGAGAAGGAGGAGAAAGTAAAAGAGGAGGAGGGGAAGGAGGGGAAGGTAAAAGAGGATGAAGAGGAGGAGGAGGAGAATGAGAAGGAGGGGAAGGTAAAAGAGGAGGAGGAGGCACATGTCCTCTTCGGCAACACATCCTGACTTCCCTTCCCTTGTCTGCAGCTGGACTCCTCTACCCTTTCCCCAGAGACTGCTCCCAAGCTCTGCTGAATGGAGAAATCGCTTCTGGACTCTACACCATTTATCTCAACGGCAATCAGTCTCAGCCCCTGGAAGTGTACTGCGACATGAGTTCTGACGGAGGCGGGTGGATTGTACGTACTGTATTTCTCTCTTTGGCTTCTTCCTCCCTTCTTAAAGTGGTTTTTTTGTTTGTGTGTGTGTGTGTGATTTGCACCGGTGCATGGAGAAACCTAAGAAATGGCAGAAGCTTCTCCTATGCTTCAGAGGAACTCCTGCCGTACCTTAGCTTCTCACCTTGGATGTCTTTCCTAACCGTTCGCAAGACTTTAGAGAGCAACCCCATAGTAAGGAAGGTTAAGGGAGTTGTGCTGGGTAGTGTCCAGCTCAGATCCTGTTTACCGTTCTCTAAAATGACCCTACTTGCATTGGGATTCCCCCAGGTCTTTCTGAGGAGGCAGAATGGCGAAGTAAACTTCTACCAGAACTGGAGGACTTACGAGAGTGGTTTTGGAGATCCCAACAATGAATTCTGGCTAGGTAGGTGGCTACAAAGTTTACTGAGTCCATCAGGATCTGTTGGTTCTGCTAAATGAATATGCAGGACTTCAAACTCCTGTAGGCTTCGCTAGAACGGTAACATCCAGTACGGTTTCCCACCGTGACGTCACTCCTATCAAGTCACTTCTACCAAGCTTACTCGTTTCCAAAACCACGTTATCAACCGTTATCAACTGGGGATGGGAAGCAGATAATTCAATTACAGTTTCATTCATCTCTAACCTGTGGCTATGCAGACTAAAACCCATAACACATCAAGTCCAAAATGTTGGTGGGCCCCATAAACACAGGGGGGGGGGATTTCAGCTGGCTGAGGAATTCTGGGAGTTGAAGTCCACAAGTCATAAAAGGGCCAAGTTTGAAGACCCCTGGTCTAAACCCACTACAATGAAGGTCAATAGATTAAGCTACACTCGTTAGATAGTTTGTGCCACCACTTAAACACAAACATTACGCCACGTTTTTTTTGGGCAATGGATCCGTGAAGGTTGCGACGAGCAGTCCGTTCTATTGCAGATTATGAATGTTTTTTTAAAAAAAACCTCTGTCAGATGAATGTTTGAGTTCAAATGTGTGTTTTCCTAAAACTCTTAAAGAGTTGAAGGCAAGTTACACAAAGATGGCCATTGGACAATCTCCAACCATTTAGCTGTTGGCTTTTTGTTTTCGCAGGGCTGGACAAGCTTCACAAAATCACTTCCCAAGGCCCGTATGAGCTGAGGGTAGATCTGCGCGATCGTGGAGAGACTGCCTATGCTCTCTACAACAAGTTTACTGTGGGTGATGCCAGGACACGCTATCGGCTGAAAGTAGATGGCTACAGTGGCAATGCAGGTAGCTCCCTCTGTTTGTTTTGTGAAAAGTAGGATTGGCAGCCATTTCTCTGGGGTCCTCGGTGCTCTCTGAGCTGGGTGGTTTTCTTGCTGACGTTTCATGACCCAACTCGGTAACATCGTCAGTGCTGGAAGAGAGTTAGGTTTGTGAGGAGGAGGACTGTGGAGTCCTTGGTGCTCTCTGAGTTTGGTGGTTTTCTTGCTGATGTTTCACGACCCAAACTAGGTCATATCATCAGTGTCCCACCAGTGCATCATTAGCATTGGTGATGTTACCTAGTTGGGTCATGAAACATCTGCAAGAAAACCACCCAGCCCAGAGAGCATCGAAGACCCCACAGTCCTCCTCCTCCTCCTCCTCCACCTCCTCCTCCTCCTCCTTCTCTTTCTCCTCCTCTTCCTCCCTACAAACCCTTCTAGCACTGATGATGATGATGTTACCTAGTTGGGTCATGAAACATCTGCAAGAAAACAATCATGCTCAGAGAGCTCCCAGAACCGTATAATCATCATCATCATCATCATCATCATCATCATCTTCTTCTTCTTCTTCTTCTTCTTCTTCTTCTTCTTCTTCTTCTTCTTCTTCTTCTTCTTCTTCTTCTTCTTCTTCTTCCTCCTCCTCCTCCTCCTCCTCCTCCTCCTCCTCCTCCTCCTCTTCCTCCCTTCTGCAAACCCCATTCCCTTCTAACACTGGTGATGTTACCTAGTTGGGTCATGAAACATCTGCAGGAAACCCTGAGCTGCAAATACTCTCTTTGGCTAGCTGCTTCTGTCTTTTGTACTGAAAATCCGGTGCTCCGTGGCCATAATAGTAATAATAATCCTGAACAGTAATACGACTATCCTTATTTACGTGTCAAAACTATTCCCCTCTTCCCATCCTCTAGGTGATTCCATGAGTTACCACAACGTACGAGCGTTCTCCACCTTTGACAAGGACCACGACTCCGCCATCACAAATTGTGCCTTATCGTACAAAGGGGCGTTCTGGTACAAAAACTGCCATCGGGTCAACCTTATGGGTCGGTACGGAGACAACAGCCACAGCCAGGTAAGTAGTTCTGGTTGAGTCAATTGGCCTCCATTAGCATAGAAGATTAGATTAGATTAGATTAGATTAGATTAGATTAGATTAGATTAGATTAGATTAGATTAGATTAGATTAGAACAGAACAGAAGAGTAGAGTAGAGTAGAGTAGAGTAGAGTAGGAGTAGAGTAGAGTAGGAGAGGAGAGGAGAGGAGAGGAGAGGAGAAGAGAAGAGAAGAGAAGAGAAGAGAAGAGAAGAGAAGAGAAGAGAAGAGAAGAGATTCTCCTTCATTGATGAACCAAATTAAAATACAATTAGTCGGCTATTTGCAAAAATATCCACATCGCCTCCCTTCCTCGGAGTTCACAGCATGGCTTTCTGTCTTTTTTTGCAGGGCGTCAACTGGTTCCACTGGAAAGGCCACGAGCATTCGATTGCCTTTGCGGAGATGAAAGTCCGACCTTCCAGTTTTAGGAACTTAGAAGGAAGGCAGAAGAGAGCATAAAGGATCTTTTTTTCTTCTTCTTCTTTTTCTTTTTCTTTTTTGGCATTGACCGAGGGGGAAAAAAAAAAAAAACCAGAACAAAAAGGGTGGGGGAAAAAAATAGAGCCTTTCTCCCCACCCCACCCAGAAAAAAAATTGAGAAGAGAGAGCGATTGGCGACGAAGCTGGGAACGTGTACCAAAGCATCCGTGTTGTTGTGAGCGCTTACTCTGGGGCTCCCTTTGACCAGTTCTTATTTTTTGGGGTATGGGGTGTGGGGTGTGGGGTGGGAAGGCCTTGTTCGAAACGTGGCATGCTCGTTGGAGCGTTCTTTTTCCTTGTCCATAGATGGCTTTCTTTGCACCAAAGAAGATAATCTTGGAAGGGGAGGGAGGGAAGGAACTATTTCTTCACAGGACTTTTTGTTTTTCTCAGTGGGCTTTTTGTTGACTTGAAACTTGGTGGCTCAGAGGAACAGTAGCTGAAGCTGGGGAAATGAAGGACTTTCTTTCTTTCTTTCCTTCCTTCCTTCCTTCCTTCTTCCTTCCTTTCCTTCCTTCCTTCCTTCCTTCCTTTCTTTCTTTCATATCCCTTCCTTTCTTCCTTCTCTCATTCCTGTCTCCTTCCTTCCTCCATATCCCTTCCTCTCATTCCTGTCTTCCTTCCTTTCTTTCTTCTCTCATTCCTGTCTCCTTCCTTTCTTCCTTCTCTCATTCCTGTCTCCTTCCTTCCTCCATATCCCTTCCTTCCTTCTCTCATTCCTGTCTCCTTCCTTCCTTTTTTCTTTCCTTTCTCTTTCTCTTTCTCTTTCTCTTCTTTCTTTCTCTTCTTTCTCTTTCTTTCTTTCTTTTTCTCGCTTAACAAACCATATGTTTTCACATCAACAGACAAAAAAAAAAATCATGTTTCATTCCAAACCGTTAGTTCACTCTCTGGAGTCTCTCCTCACCTCCATCTATCCATCCATCCATCCATCCATTTCTCAGTACCAGGAAGACCAGAGGGTGTGGGAGTAAAACAGTTCAGCCTAAAAAATTAATATTATTAATATAAATGGGGAAAAAAGGGAAGATTATAATAATAAGCTAAATTTGTGTCCTTTTTTAAAAAAAAAATAGAAGCCCATGCTTTCTGAAATACAACAGGATGGTGTCTGATTGTAATTTTTTTTAATTAATAAATAAAAGCACAAGTTTACTTTTAAACACATTGCTGGTTTCTTTCTGCCCCAGGGCTGTGTTGTTTGTGTGCAAAATCAGGGTTGTGTTGGAATAAGAGTGCAATTGTAGGTGTGTGTGTGTGTGTGTGTGTGTGTGTGTGTGTGTGTGTATTTACGTATTAAATGGATGCGGATCAGTTTTGATTCAAAACACCAATTTCACTCAGAATTAAAGCAGCAACTTTAATTTTTTTCTTGGGGTATGATTCCTTCTTTCCTTCCTTCCTTCTTACCTTCCTTTCTTCCCTCCCCCTTCCTCCACTTCTTTCTTTCTTTCTTTCTTTCTTTCTTTTTTTCTTTCTTTCTTTCTTTCTTTCTTTCTTCTTTCCTTCCTTCTCTTTCTCCTTCCTTCCTTTCTTCCTTCCTTCCTCTTGTTTCTTCCTTCCTTCCTTCCTTCCTTCCTTCCTTCCTTCCTTCCTTCCTTCCTTTCTTTCTTTCCTTCTTTCTTCTTTCCTTCCTTCTCTTTCTCCTTCCTTCCTTCCTTCCTTCCTTCCTTCCTTCCTTCCTTCCTCTTCTTTCTTTCTTCTTTCTTTCTAAAAATAAGACACAACTGAGCTTTTGCACTCAAGCTACTTTGGCTGGGGAGCAAAGGAGAAGCTTTTGAGATGGGCTGCATTGCCCCCATCCTTGGCGTTCTCCGCACATAACCAAAAAAAGGAAACTCGGATACTTTACGTGACGCATGATGTTACCAACCAAAGGTCATTTATCCTGTCCGCATATTTAACAGAAAGCTGCAAGACTCTGCTAACTTGGGAGCCAGGAACATTAACAACATTAACTGGCATTTTTATGACTGTTGTTACCTGTTATCGGGGCACAGAGGATGGGGTTTCCGAAATGTCATTCTGCTGGAAACCTCCATTGGCAGCTGAGTTACTCATTATATTATTGGAAACCGCAACTAGCTGTTTTCCCCACCACCAGCTCTGCAATTATTTTTCCTAAAGGACACGAGTTAGGATCTATGTGGTTTTCCTTGGAAGTGAAAATGCACAATCCACAAGCAGGGGGTCTTCAAACGTGGCCCTTTTATGACTTGTGGACTTCAACTCCCAGAATTCCTCAGCCACCTGAATTTGACAAAATGCTCCTCCATTTATACCAGGGGTCTCCAAACTGGGCAACATGAAGACATATGGACTTCAACTCCCAGAATTCCTCAGCCAGTCAACCAAAGCTGCCAAACCTGGCAACCTTGAGACTTGATGTGGACTTCAACTCCCAGAATTCCTCAGCCAGACTTGTGGACTTCAACTCCTAGAATTGCTAAGGCAGACTGGTGGACTCTTAATTCCCAGAATTCCTCAACCAGATTTATGGACTTCCTCAGCCAGCCAATGAAATCATGGAATTGAAATTCACAAGCCTGGCTGAGGAATTCTGGGAGTTGAAGTCCACAAGTTGCCAAGGTTGGAGACTCAACTCCCAGAATTCCTCAGCCAGCCTCATGAATTTCACCTCCATGACTTCATGGCTGGCTGAGGAATTCTGGGAATTGAAGATCATAAGTCTGGCTGAGGAATTCTGGGAGTTGAGGTCCAATGGAAGAATTTCTGTACAGACATGGTGGGTATTCCATCACTGGACATTTTCAATAAGAGACCGGGCAACCATTTATCTGGAATGGTATATGGTTTCCTGCCTGAGCAAGTGTTGGACTAGATGACCTCCAAAGTGCCCTCCAACTCTGCTATTCTATATTTTTGCTACCAGGAGCTCATTTCTCAAATGTGGGGTTGCAGTGCCATCTAGTGGTTTTGAATGGAAATGTCACATCAAGGCAATCTGGCAAAATACTATAGGTACAGGTGAAATACACATCTTCATTTTAACCATCATCAAAGGAAATCACAACAGCCGGATTGGGGTCTACAGGCTACGTGCCTTTTTGCTGCTGAAGCAGTTCTGAACAACATCAAAAGAAGTTTCATGTGATAGAGATATGAAGTACTGATTGTGGGTTAGACTAGATGACCTCCAAAGTTCCCTCCAACTCTGCTATTCTATATTTTTGCTACCAGGAGCTCATTTCTCAAACGTGGGGTTGCAGTGCCATCTAGTGGCTCTGAACAGAAATTTCACGTCAAGGGAATTTGGCAAAATACTATAGTTACGGGGGAAAATAAAGGTAGATCACACCTG